GCGGCAGGTTCCTGCTGGCTTCCAAGTTCTGTACGGGTCGTTCAGCTGGAAAACATGTTATTTTTAAAAAAACAGAACAACCAAAAAGACACCATTATTTGTAGCTGTTTATTAGCCGAAGTAAACACGTGTTGATTTTAGATGGTTTCCAACGTTTTTTTTTAGTTGTGCAGTGCCATGAGATGGCAGGATCAGCCACTTCTCGAGCATCTGTTTCTCTTCTTTCTTTCTTTTCCTTAAAAAATAGAGACGCGTCTCGCGTGTTGGCCAGGCTGAACTTGAACTACTGGTCTCAAGTCATCCTCCCGCCTCGGCCTCCCAAACTGTTGGGATTGCGAGCGTGAGCCACCGCTCCTGGCTGAGCACCTGTTTCATACCTAGGACTGTGTTCACCCAGAAATGTGAAACAGGACCCCTGCCCTCAGAGTCTCGGAAGGGAGGGCAAAGACCAGGGCATGGGCCCCTCGGGTAACAAGTTTATTAAGTGAACTCTCGGTGAAGATTTCTCAATGAATTTAAATATTCTTACCTAAGCAGTCATTGCGAGTGGATAAATGTTTGAGGATGCATGGACCTTAGAATAATTTATTTCCAGTTGTTAAAGAACAGGTATGTTAGGGAAAGATTGTAGAGCAGTCTGAAAGGATTATTGTTTTATTTAGTGCCAGTTCACTCACTTGCTAATAAACGCATTCCATTAATTTGGCAGAGAAGTATTTTACCCTTCTCCCCTGCTCTAAATATTATTGGTATTTGGTGCAGTCTTGTGTTTTCATAGTGAGGACTAAATCACCCTTTCAAAGGAAGATTCAGAATTAAAAGCAGTGATTGAAAAAAAAAAAAGTTCAGGAAATGTGTGGGTTTTTTAGAATTAAGTAGACTACTGAGTCCAAGTGTCCAGAACGAGTACTTACTTAAGTTCTTTCTATGGAAAGGAAATTGCAGGGAGAGGGAGCTGTGCTCAATAGTGGTGGTTATTTATATAAATAATCCTTTCCAGTGCATTAATATTTGGTTAAATATTCTGTATCCTACTTTTAGAAAAATTGAATTCATTCAAGGGTTTTTTCTTGAAGTTTTTTTTTTTTTTTTTTTGAGTCAGAATCTCACTGTCGCCCTGGCTGGAGTGTTGTGGCAAGATCACTGCTCACTGCAGTCTCCTCCTGGGTTCAGGCGATCCTCCTGCTTCAACCTCCTTAGTAGCTGGGGCTACAGGTGTGGGTACCTGGCTAGTTTTTTTTTTTTTAATTTTTTTGTGGAGATGAGGTCTTGCCATGTTGCCTAGGTTGGTCTCGAACTCCTGGGCTCAAGCCATTCTTCCACCTTGGCCTCCCAAAGTACTGGGATTACAGGTGTGAGTCACTGTACCTGGCCTTTTCTTGCCAATTTTATCCATGTTTGTTTGGGCTGAAACTTTGGTTGTCATTCATTTGCTCATTCTCCCAGGTGTCTTGCCTCTCCCTTGGGCATTTTTAACAGCATGGGGG